GCCATGACCTCCTCTAAATCCAGCTTGAACTTCTGTCAGTTCTAGTATTTGTTCTAGCTGCTTTTGAATGTTCTTTAACAGTATTTTGCATGCATATGATATTATTTGAGAGTTTCCACTTTCTATTGGATCACCTTTCTTGAGAATGGGAACAAACATTCATCTCTCTTCCAGTCAGTTGGCCAGGCAGCTACTCTACAAATTTCCCGGCACAGACTGGTGAGCATGTCCAGGGCTTCATTTATCATCTGAAACATTTGGGTGTATAATTGGTATCCCATTGATTCCTGAGGCCTTGTTTTGTTTTGGTTTTTGCCAATGCTTTCAGTGCAGCTTGAACTTCTTCCTTCCTTACCATTGGCTCATGATCATATGATATTTCCCGAAGTAGTTTGACCAGTTCCTTTCTGTGTATTCCTTCCATCTTCTTTTGATGCTTCCAGGATCATTCAAGATTTTGTCTGTAGTCTAAATATTGCAACTCAAGGCTTGAAGTTGTTTTTCCGTTCCTTGAACTTGAGAAATGCTGAGTTTTTACTTTTTTTATTCTCCGATTCAAGGTCTCTGGATAGTCCATTATAAAAGTTTGTCTTCTCAAGCTATCCTTTGTGGAATGTTTATTTGTTTTTACTATTGTTTTAAACTTTTAAGAATTTTAAACTTTGTAAATTTTATTTTATATTAGTTTGTGCACGAAGTTCACTCACAAAGTTGTGAAACATTGTGTTTTACACCATTCTTCATTTATATTGTGTTTCATACAATTATTCTCATGCATTATGTTTTATAAAAGCAATCACCCTTGGACCTTGCCCATCATTGCCCAGTCTTTTCAGGTCCCCACTGGACCCTTCCCATTTCCTTCATCTCCTCCCTCCACCCACCAAAGAGTACAACCCTGTGGTTTTGCCCCTACACATTTTTACCCCTCTGCTTGCACCCCTCCCTCTCTCAACTCCCCATATATGTCTTACTAGTTGTCCTATTTTTATAATAGTGGTCTTATGCAGTATTTGCCTTATGAGATTGAGTTAGTTCACTCAGCATAATGCTCTCCAGTCCTCTCAAGTTACATAGTATTTTTCAAAATCGTTGTTCCTGAATGCTGTGTAGTATTCCACTGTGTGAATATACCACAATTTCTCAACCCATTTGGTTATGGTTAGACATTTGGGCTGTTTCCATGTTCTTGTGATGGTGATTAATGCTGCTATGAACATTGGTGGATAATCTCCATTTGTGCCTTGGTTCTAATTTCCTTCGGGTGTAATCCTAGTAGTGGAGTAAGTAGCTAGGTCATCGGGCTGTACTTGGAAATCTTCTGTTCAGCCCTTTTACTTCAACATCTCCCCCCCTCCTTTTTACCCCACTTCTCAATGCTCTGGTGCGATTGGCAGTATCTCTTCTGACATCCGTTTTGGGTTTTTATTCCTCCTCTGTCTTTTTAACGACCTTTTGTTCTCTTCATGGATGAGATCCTTGATGTCATCATCTGATCTTCAATCATTAGTGTTCAATGTTTCACACCTATTCCTAAGATGATTTATAAACTGAGGTGAGATAGACTCAAGATCATATTTTGGTTCTCATGGACTTGTTTTCTTTTTCCTCACAGAAGAGTGCTATGTACTTGAGGGTAAAACCAAGTCTCTCCTTGGAGGCTGGGATTTTGAGGCTCTGTCTCATATACTTTGGACACGTGGCCAGGAGAGATCAATCCTTGGAGAAGAACATCATGCTCAGAAGGGTGGAAGTACAGTGCAGGAGAGGAAGACCCCAGATGAGATGGATTGATATAGTAACTGGGACGGTGGGGATTGTTGTGTTGGGATTAGTGAGACTGGCTCAGGACAGGGCAGGGTTCAGAGCAGCTATATACAATCCATCTCAAAATCCCAGCCTCCAAGGAGAGACTTGGTTTCACCCTCTCCAAGACAGACCTATTTGCCCCCTTGACTCGATGGCACATAACAACAACAACAACAACAACCTATTATATTTATTGTTTTCTATGTAAACCTCTTGTTTAAAGTCAACAAGACCTCATGTGCCATCAAGTCACCTGTGACCTGACTCAAAGAGGTGGATTGACACAGTGACAGGACTATGTACTCACGTACATTCGAGATGAAACGGCGCAGGCCAGGACAAGTCCAGATCCCAGGACAAGTCCCTAACCCTAACCCCCTAACCCTTTAAAAGTCGGTTGTTATTTTATTTTACAGGGAACATTCTTCTAAGTGCCATAGCACTCTTCTGTCAATATGCTATACTGAGGTAACCTGGGGTTGCTATGATGCTGAACCTTGTGTCATTGGGTGTCAAATGCCATAAAGGTTACCCATGGTGGTCAGTGTTTGGTGGAACTCCCAGCTTAAGATAGGTTTAGAAGGAGGAGTAGCATCAACTTCCTAAAAATCATGCCTCTGGAAACTCTATGAACTTTTGAGAAACAATAGTTATAGAAAGACTTCAGGGCTTTTGTTCATCAGGTCGCTATAAGTCGTACTTGATTCAACAGGAATCAACAACAAAGTGCCTTGTAAGGAGCCCAGATGGTTGTACTGGTTAAAGAATTCAGCTACTAACAAAATATGGTTCAAACCCACCGCCAAGTCAGAGGAGAAAGATGTGTCTGACGCAGGAAAGCTGACTGGGAAGTTACGCTCTGTCCTGTGGCATCTGTGAATCGCCATGGATTTACGGATGTGTTTGGTTTGGTTGGGTTGGGTTGAATCGCCTGAGGTAGGGTCAGCTAAGTGCCTTGAGTAGCGCCTGCCGTGTAGTGGGTACTCCGCAAACGGCCCCTGGAAGTGACTGACGGAGGGCCATTAACCACACTGCCTGGTGGTGATAATTCAGCAATGCCTGCAGCAGCGCCCACAGAGCCAGCAGCCAAGCCCCCAAGACTCAGGCCCTCATCACCCCGTCCACTGAGTGAGCTGAGGCCGGCCTCAGTCTGCATTATCTGTTGCCAAGGAGCCAGCGGATTAGCCCTATCAGGCCTCTGTCGACTCATCTGGAAAATGGGGGAGTCTCACGGAGGGAACAGGACCCTCACGGCCCCTCCTGGCAGCCCCTCCCCCACGTCCCCCTCCCCTAGAGACAGGATGGAAGGTGACAGTCCAGAGCCAGACCTGGCCCTGCGCCACCCCTCCCGAGGATGAAGAGGAAGAACTCAGTCCCCCAAACACCCGGCTTTCCCCTCTCCCACCCCGCCCGGCACCCCCTTCCTGGGATCTGTGCCCAGGCCAGGGGAGGGGCGCTCGTGGAGGCGGCGGCGCTGGGGCCCAGCCGGGAAATTCCTCAATGACAGGCTCCCCTCCCAGCGCGGTCCTGGGCGGAAACCAGGAAGGGGGTGTGGTCGGGCCCCTCTCCCCCCCCCCCTCAGGCTGGGAAAGGCTCGGCTGCGGAGGGGAAACTGAGGCCCGGAGCGGGGTGGGGGGGGGCGTGACCTACTCAAGGCCCAGGTATGAGTCCTTGGGGTTCAGAGGCCAGGATCAGGGCCAGCCCGCTTTCCTTGAAGATGGGCGGAGCTCCTTGGGAGCCCTGCAGGCCCTGGGGGACAGAGACCTTGTCACTAATGCTGTCACCTTGCACGTGTCACTTCACCTTCCGGAGCCTCAGTTTCCTCCTGTCAACCAGACTCCACAAAGGTCATGTGAACAAGAGTGGGCACTGGTGATTGGTCTGGAGCAGCTTCGGTCACCTTTCCCCGAGACGCCACCTCCAGAAAGCCCCCCAATCCTCCTGCATGCCTCCCTGCAGCATAGAGGTACCAGAGGGGTGAGAGAATCTCCCAGGGGAGGGGGCCTCGTGATTAGGGTGACGGACCCTGCACCCCGGGTGAATGAGTCGCTCCGTGAACTGGGGTGTGCAGAGGCGCAATCCCACCCCCAGCAGAGTGAGCTCCAGGGTAACACTAGGCTTTGGGATGATGACCCGCGGGCTTTCCGCGGTTGCGATGGGCGGGGCGCGGGAGGGGCCTGGGACTATTTCAGGCGGGGGCCCGCCTCCCCGGGACACCAGTGCCTGCAGGACCGGGTAAGTGACCCCGCCGTGCTCAGTCCCCACTGCTCCACGCATCCGCCGCCCGCCTGCGGAGCCCGCTTCCCCGGCCCGTGCGCCTGGCACCAGAGAGGGGACCAGGGGACCAGGACGTCTCAGGCGGTGCCCTCCTCCGGTGCCCTCCTCCTCGGGCGGTCCTCCCGCGAGGGAAATTGCGACACGCAGAGAGGAAGGCTGTGGGGACAAGTGACAACGTTTCCTTTCCATGAAGCGGGTCCAGGGTGCGGATCCGGGGTGTGGGGCTAGGCGAGTCCTTCCTTCCCCGCACCTGGGGGTCCTCCGCTGGAGCACAGATGTGCCCCCTTGGCCCACCCAGGAGAGAGGCAGCCGGGCCCAGACGCCACCGGCAGGCACAGTGGGCATCAGTCCTGAACCCGGCAGGGGTGAGGGTGTGCGAGCCTGAGGGCCTGCTGGGGAGGGGGGAGGCTTGCCCAGGGCGCCTGCCCCTGCAGGGCTGCAGCCTCACCGTGGGGCAGGGACCCCTTCCTGCCAGCCTCTCCTCTATCTGCTGCCACACTGAGGGGGCTGTGTGTGCGCGTGCAGGTTGGTACCTATCACTGGGCTGTGTGGTATTTATATCTTCCCAGCGGCCCTCAACCCCATGTCTCAAGTGAGGAAGCTGAGGCTGGTGGAGAAGGGATGTGGTCAGCCAAGGTTACAGCCTTGTCTCTGCCCACCGAGCTGGCCGGCTGTGCCACACAGAGAGAGATGCTGTGCAGGGACCGGCTGGCACCTTGTTTGTGTGGGAGTGAGGACCTGTCATGCTGGGAGGTGGGGGCAACTGTCAGTGAGAGGGCAAGGCAGCCCCCATCCTAGGAAGAGGGTGAGGTGAGGCCTGGGTGCCCAGAGTGGGGCCCACCAGACCCACCCTATGGAGGCTTTGCCTGAGATAAGACAGGTTGGACCTGAAGCAAGCTGTGCCAGAAGAGGGCAGGACAGAGGTTATCAGGTGGCCTGCACTTGGGGCCATTGGCTTTGCCACTCCCCAGTATACTTCCTGCTGGGTCTGTGTGGCACAGAGGAGACAGCTGAGGTCCAGGGATTCAGGAATCTAACCAGTGGTGGGCCTCTAGGGATTGCATGTAGCCACTTGGAGGAAGCCAGGCTCGTTTCCCCTTCACGGCTCTGGCCAAACCTCTGAGGCCTGCTTCAGCGAGGGGGACAGACCCAGTGGCCCTTCTGGTGGAGGCAGCATTGTTCCTATGCTATTGTCTGAAGCAGTTTTTCAGAGGCTGTAAATGGCACAGGAAGATACCGTTCATCTTTTTCCTGCAGGGCAGCTGGTGGATTCGAACCACATCCCTTTGGGTTAACAGTGCAGCTCCTTGCCATGAAGCCATCCCTGGCCCACTGTGTTCCTAAGGCAAGCACCTCTGCTGCTCTCGGGTGCCCATCTGAATACTGGCTGTCCCAGCAGCCTCACGGCAGAATTGAGGGGTCTCTGTCTTGCAGGAAGCATGGCTAGATGTTTCTTTTTGGGGGGGATGAGGGAACACGCAGGTGACACCATGGCTATGGGTCACCCTAGTTACCAGGGAGGCTCAGCCCTAACCGCTTCCCATTTCCTGGCCATCCTGATCCCTCAAGGGAGCCAAGCAAGCTCCCCTCCAGGGTCCCGCCTCAGTGAGGCAGGAGTGGGTGTGTGGAGGCAGGGAAGGATCCGGGGTGTGGGGCTAGGCGAGTCCTTCCTTCCCCGCACCTGGGGGTCCTCCGCTGGAGCACAGATGTGCCCCCTTGACCCACCCAGGAGAGAGGCAGCCGGGCCCAGACGCCACCGGCAGGCACAGTGGGCATCAGTCCTGAACCCGGCAGGGGTGAGGGTGTGCGAGCCTGAGGGCTCAGGTGATCTTAGGGGGCACCTTAACCTCTCCGAGCACTTTAATAAGATGTGAGGAAAATCGCTGCCCCCCCCTTTTAGTGCACATGCAACCAGGATGGGGTGGGCACTCAGAAGGGCACTGAAAGTGAAAGCTTCTGTGATGATGATGTGATGTGGGGCCCCACTGCTCCCCACTGTGGTTTCTGTGGGCCTGTGCCTAAGCTGAGAGGGGGTGCTGGTTCTGCACCTCTCATGTTCTTAAAAGGAGTAACTTCATTTCTGCTCATTACACCCATGTAAGACCTAGAAGACAGTTAGACCAGACAAGGGGAACTGGGAGGTCTGGAGTAGGGGCGGGACTGGACAGGAGAAGGTCTGGGTTCCTGCCCCGCCCCGGCTTGGCCCCAGGTGCGAACTCATGGCCCTCTTGTCTCTAGATGAGTCTTAGCCTGAGACTTCACACCTTAGCTCGCCTTCTCCTCATCCAGGAGGTGGGTCACCAAGGCAGGATTTGCCAGAAGGAAGCACTGGAGCCCTCATCTGGGCAGCCTCCCCACCTGGCGCCCCTCCCTCCTCGCTGCTGTAGAGGCTATAATTAGACAGACCAGTGATACGAAAATAGGAGCTGTGGGGACCAGACAGCTGTGGCCAGGCAGGGGACTGGGCTGCTGGCGCTTGTGGAGCAGGATCAGAGCCACGGAGCTGCACCTGTGAACGCAGACTCTGCAGGGTCAGCTTTGAGCTGTGTGCTTGGGCCCAGGCCAGTGTTGCCACTTCATTCCTCCCGACCACAGGCCTGAGCCAGAGTGAGCCTGAAGATGAAGAAATTCTTCACCCGGAACCGCCGGGACAAGCAACCTATTCCAGGGACGCCTGACCTCCCAGGAAGTTCCCACAGTGTGCCCCCATCACAGCGAGAGCCCAAGTTATCAACCCTGGAGACTGGGATAGCGCTGGACATCATCACAGAGGAGGATGGGAAAAAGAAGAAGAAGAAGAAGTTCAAAGGGCTGACTAAGAAGTTTAGATTCTTAAAAAAGAAGAAGAGCAAGCCTGGCACCGAGGAGGCTGGAGTCGAGTCCATAGCCATCCTGGGACTGAATGGTTGGCAGCAGACAGGTCAGCACCAATCCAGGGGCTGGATAGGGTGGGTTTGTTGGGAGTGGACAAACTATTCTCTGGACCCCAGCAGACAGGACCAGAGGGTGCCTTCACTTGATCCCTCAATATGGGGGGACTGG